GAGCAATCAACGTGTTAATGTTATACTTAATGTATATATGTTATAATAAATGTGCCGCTTGCTGGTTGTTAAATAAATGTCGAAATATTAAATTAAGCAAGCTGTGTACCGTTTGAAAGTAGCCGTAAAATTAATCTGAAAGGATTAATTTTTCAATTTAAATTATCCCAACCTTATTTTGTCAGAAAGCTTGAAATAATAAAAAATAATAATATAATAAAAATATATTTCATCCACATCATTGTTTTAATAATAAACATATTAATATTAATATTATTATTTTATTCATATTAATATTATTATTTTATTAATGTAATTATTAAACATAATTGAATTAAAAATTTGAATTGCAAGTCCTGGACATCTTATTGGATTAGGTCTTTTATATTATGTTTTAATACAATTATACAATGTTCTATGCATACTGATTACTACATACTAATAAATACAACCAATTCTAATTGTGAAACTTTACATTCACTACAGAACGACGATAAGAAGAAGCTTAGTCGTACCAAACAGATTAAAAAGCTCGCACACATACACTACGACTGATGTCACATTTGCCACTGCTGTCTCCCATTCGTCATATCACCCAAAAACAGCTTCAGAGACTCGGGGCCGCCGAAGGGGTCCACCTTATCCCGCCTTCTTCAAAGCGGCGACATCGGCTTGTAATTCTGTGACTTTTCTCATGAGATCCCGGACCATCGAGGTCAGGTAGGGCAACGTGTCAGCGGAGATGGTGTTGCGCTCGACGCAGCCGTTCAAGGCGGCGTCGTCACTGGCGGCGTTCGGCTCGTGAGCGAGGCACTCCTCGATCAAGAGATCAGCGGGGCCCCAGTTCTGGACGAAGCGGATATGATTGCTGCCCAAATACCAGGTCATCGAGGCGCGACACCGGTACGACCAGGGATTGCCGGCGATGTAGATCCTACGCAGCTTCGTCAGCTTCCTCAGAGACTCGGGCGACAGGCAGTCGACCAGCTCGTTGTGCGCGATGTCCCAGAACTGCAGATTCGGCAGCGAGTCGTAGAGACGCGGATCGATCGTGCTGATCCGATTGCGCCAAACTACGAGCGCGCTCAGCCGCGGCAGATCGTCGAGCCACGACGCGTCCAACGCGCGGATCTTGTTGTCCACCAGACCCAACACGCGCAGCTTAATGAGACCCCTGAATGCGTTCGGCTGAACCTCCTCCACGCCGCATCCGGTGATGTTGAGCTCCTCCAAAGTGGCGCCGTACTGCGAGAACGCGTCCGACGGTATCGTCGCGATGCTCGAGTTCCTGATGTCGATGCCGACCGCTCCCGCCGGTATCCGCAACTGTGCGATACGCGGGCTTTATTTCGCATCTTTTATGTAGGTGACGAAATCATATAAACGAATAGTCACGGAAAGAAAAAGAGATGTTTGTTGTTGTTATCAGAAACCTTGGCAGCTTAGCAAACTTATAGTCGTGACATGCGAACAGTTAGTTTTCTATGTGTAGCAACTGACAGAACTGAAGAAGGAACCCTGCTAATTTTGTTAGATTTTATTGATTTTAGATACGACATGATATGCAAAGCGGCAAAATATTTTTTTTGCACTTATTTCAAAGTTTATGGAAATAACTTTTTTGAAAATTAACGGAATATTTCATGTTTGACGAATATTATATTGAACTGTGGGGAATATGAAAAATCGCTCTATATAAAATTTTTTTACAATATTTTATACTATTATTATACTATTTACAATTGTGTATTTGTATTATCGAAAATATGAATTTTATACATTTAATAATAATAAAACTAATTTTGTGTTAATTAGATTTAATTGTTCATTTACTTTCACTCTTCTATTATTCTTGCGATTTTTAACATTTTCAAGGACAGAGAAATTAGAAAACAACAAATAACAAAATTAGACACATGTTATTAAATATAATTTTGAATTTTTTCTTTCATGTTATTAGGATTTTGCATTCTGGCGCATTATTTTCTTTTTGTATTCGACAAGCCCATTGAGCGATATTAATGTATGAACAATTGTTGCTCTTTCAAACTCTAAATTAAGATTATTTCATTATATATATTATTTTATTATATACA